GATAGATTCCAATTCCTCTTCGACCCCCCACCGGAAGGGGCGTGGTCTTGTACATCAACCTATTATCCACGTCCCCAGCGCGTGATTTATGACGCAGTAAATGATTGCATCCCATTGAGCAGCGGGCCCGGGCTACCAATAAACACTTGCATAGAAATCCGCTCTTTCTTTCTATGGCCCGCGTTCTACTCCGTCGATACTTAAATGCAGGCTGTGAGGGATTCGTGTGTGGGAGAGTGTGTGATTGAGTGTGTGTGTGAGTGTGTGAGTGTGTTTGTGGGGGGGGGGGGATGTGTGTGTGTGTGTGCGTGAATGTGAGTGGGAATGGGAGTAGGTGGGCTTCTGATCTAAAATTGATACTTTAACGTGCGATGTAAGTTGAAGATATTTTGTTCCGTGTATTCTGTCACGGAAATCGATGTTTAAAGTGTCCGTGTTTTTACTTTGCTCGGTGGCTCCCGCGTTGTTTCGTGGGTAGCCGATGACAGATTTAGTCTTTAACAGAGTTTCTTCCAGGCATCTCTACGGGGTTCCCCCCCCCTCCCGAATAAAGTCTACCCCCACCCCGAACGAAATGGAATTTATATAGCAAACATATAGGCTACTTTTACCAGTGTCCCCTCCCCCCCCCCCCCCAGGAAAATGTTGACCACACCCCTCCCCCGAAAATAACAATTGCCCCCCCCGGAAAATCTTGACCGCCCCCTCTACCGAAAATATCAAGTACCCCCCCCCCCCCCCCCCCCCCGGGAAAAAAGTCTGGAAGAAACACTGGTCTTTAACCAAATGATTCCAGCCTGAGCTTTTTGTTCAGAAATATTGGACGAAACAGCGACAGGTTTGTATAATGTAAGCACCACCACCCCTTTCCTCCCCACCCACAACCCCCGCTGGCTCAGATAAAAATAATGTACCACTCACAACATCTCCGGTCAAGACAAGAATAAAACAACCTTAATTAATAAACTAGAAATACATTAAGAGTCCAAAGATATGCATTGTCTGAGTACTAATTACATTAAGTTAATGAGTGCAAAGTCAGGGCGAGAATTGTTTTTTTTTTAATTATTGAAATATTTTTGTAACAAAAGAACGATCCGTCTATTTATTTTTTTTTTAAATTGAATAATTTTTAAGAAAGTAATTTACAATAAAATTTTAAAAAATAAGATGAGCAACTACGAAACAATATTTCACATCAGAAATCAACGCACATAAGTAATATTTTAATTAGTAAAGACGGACATGAAGGTTTTGGGCGTTAATTGTGATGAAATGTAAACAGACGCAGTCAAGCGTGGGAAGACCGTTTGGAATGTTTGTTTACGCATGTTTAGTAAAAATAAACAATGAGTTATTTAAGCGTTGCAATGTCCTTGTCTTAAAACTAGACTGCGCATATTTATTTATTTTTAAACTGGACTGGCTGGTTTAAGGAGAATTTCGGAATGTTTATTTGTATGTTTGTTTGCCTATGTCTATTTGGTTATTTGTTTAGTATTCTATGTATATATATGTCTATGTGGTTTCTAGTCATTTAGTCTATTTAGGTGTATGTTTATGTGTCTATGTGCTTTGTGTCTGTGTCACTATGTTTCTGTTAAGATGCTTGTATGTCTGTAAGTGGTTATGTTTATGTGTGGATGTCTGTTTCACTTTTTTTGGCTCTCTTAAAGTTCGATTATCTGTTTTCTATAAAAGATAAATAAGAATTCAATAAATAATTCAATTTAAAAAAAAATTATCCTGCTTTATTCACAATAGAAAACGATTCACCGCATATTTCATTTCACCAAATGTTAAGTCTCCCCCTCCCCCCCCTCCCACCCGGACAGTGTTTCTTCCAGACTTTTTTCTCCGGGGGGGCACTTGAAATCTTCGGGGGGGCGGTAAACTTTCTTCGGGGGGGCGGACACTGTTAAAAGTATATATTTTCTATATAAATTATATAAATTTCATTTCGTTCGGGGGGGGGGGGGCGGTAAAAAAATTTCTAAAATGTACCGCATATTTTTAAAAACAAATTACATTATCTAGGAGTGTTCGTCATTTGAGATCACAGTCTGGGATATTCGTAGTTTAGAGTGATCGTAGCCCAGTGTTCGTAGTCCAGTGTTCGTAGTCCAGTGTTCGTAGTTCAGTGTTCGTAGTCCAGTGTTCGTAGTCCAGTGTTCGTAGTCCAGTGTTCGTAGTTCAGTGTTCGTAGTCCAGTGTTCGTAGTCCAGTGTTCGTAGTCCAGTGTTCGTAGTCCAGTGTTCGTAGTTCAGTGTTCGTAGTCCAGTGTTCGTAGTTCAGTGTTCGTAGTCCAGTGTTCGTAGTCCAGTCCAGAGTTTTCGGAGCACATTGTAAAATTGTAAAATTGTAAAGATTACTGTATTCAATAACGAAAGGGAGAACAATTATCTGAACTAGTGGCGATATTCGATATATATCTATATCTATATCTATATATATATATATATATATCTATATCTATATATATATATATATATATATATATATATATATATATATATATATATATATATATATATATACATTAACATATTTAGTAGTTAATAAATAATTGTTTCTTTACTTCAGCAGTCAACCCTCAAGCCTATCCTATGCCTCGATTTTGGTGTGAGGAGTGCGGACGACGACCAGCTGAACCTCACGGACCAAGACCTACGTATATTCCGCCATTCTTAACAAGAGAAGCGGTGTATCGTCGTAGGCGTCAGACCTAAGGCAAGTATCTGAACACCTCACTGTCACAGATATATTTGTGAGAAGCCCGGGGTTGTGGGGTATCTGTGTTGTAGTTCCTTTGTCTAGTAGTTTTCACTAAATTCAGGTTCAAACTAGATGATAATCCAAATATGTAAAAGCCCATATGCGCACTTTTCTCTCTCTACCTCTATCTCTCTCTCTCTCTGTCTGCAAAATATTTTCAGAGGCTATAATATCAGTATCCTCAGCGATGTATGGACAACTTGATTCGGACTTTTGTTGAAAATAATATGTTAGATGTTTTTAATGTATAAACTAAATTTTATTCAAAGAAACAATAACTATTGTATAACACATTTTTCTCAAACATGTATAACATTAAAATATATAGCCCTATAATTTACGTTTATTTATATATTCTATTCTGTTTGCATTTTTTTTTAAAATGAATATAGCAAAGAATTCTAGTGTTAGCTCGCTGATGCTAAAATTCTAACAGTCATCAAATGTCAAGGTACTCTGTTCGTGAGGTCATCTATTTATGGCTGTTTAATAAGTCTTTCAGAATAATTGACATAATGTTATTAGGGACAAGTCGACATTGTCCTAATAGAAGATAAGATATTTAAAAATGAATCTTAACTTCATATTTTCAGATACCCCCTAACAACAACAACTGCTTGAATCTTTTATCCAGCAGCACCTTGCCGTCTGCTAGATGGAAATGACCAGATCTGAATGGAATGAAATTATTGACCAATGATTTCACAAACATTTAATATACCTAATATTTTTTAATGAAGTTCTAAAAATAAATTTAAAAAAAAAAAACAACGATATTTGCTTATCGGTGCGATTGTATATGAAATATGTATTTACATAAATAAATAGTCGATATTTTTCTTTCAATAAAATAAACATCTACATTCAAAAACAAATTTGAAATTACAAAGATATATGTAACCAAATTTATTTCGTACACCTAAAACAGGAGTTCTGACCCCCCCCCCCCCCCTCCTTCCCCTTTTATCTCCAGAAAACATTGAGCATCAGCACTTCTGAGCTTTATATTAGCTTTGTCCTACACTCAGTGGCGTAGCTAGGGGGAGGGCGGGTGGGGCGGCGACTCCAAGGGGGTGCCAAAAGGTGTAAAAATTAATTTAAAACTCACAGATTTAAAAATTTCGCAGACAGGAATAACTATATTTATAGAAATTGGAGATATGGTGCGGAAAATTCATAGTTTGCCCCGGGCGCCGAATAGGTCTTTACGCCTCTTCCTACACTTTGACATAAAATTAATCTCTCAATGTAAATATTATATTTAAGGTTATTTTTTTCCGTTTGTTTTTAAAGTTTACAGGTCCTGTGTTTTCACCATCGTAATCAGGTCAAGGTTGAGGTGAGGCAACGGATATTAAATAAAACGTTCATTCAACAGTACTAGTTTTTTAGGCGAAAACCGTCATAAACAAATATAGACTAGTAACTAAACCATCTACAATTGATGTTTGAGAACAAGATAATCTTTCATCCACGAGTCAAGACATTATATAACTTTAGTAACCCTCTATTATTATCTGATGATTAAAAACAAAATATACCTTTGTGATCCTTAGGGTTAAGAAAATCACTTGTTTAATGGTGATAGATTTACATAATTTTAAAAATGCACCATGACAAAATGGTACTGCTTTTATATGTAACATTTAAATACTACAAACTAATGTTACAGACTTCGCGAAACGTAACAAAACTCACGGAACTTGAGACTTAACGATTGTTTACACCTTGGATAGGCTGTCAGGTCCTCAAACAAGTTGTAAGGTCCAGTCCTCGGGCAGGGCGGACTCTGTTACCCCACTTTCCGTTATTTACGTCCATTGTCAGGTGACATTTGACCTAGTAAAGTGACCCCAAAAATCCGGATACGAATTTCATCCAACCAACACGTCGAATATGTCCGGGTTTTAGAAAATCAGGTGAGTATATAGAGACGGAAAACACCCCTAGGTGTTTGTTGAAACAGAAAGGTGTAATCTAGTGATACAGAATACAGGTGTGATTTAGTGACATAGAATACATGTGTGATTTAGTGACATAGAATACAGGTGTGATTTAGTGATACAGAATACAGGTGTGATTTAGTGAGATAGAATACAGGTGTGATTTAGTGACATAGAATACAGGTGTGATTTAGTGAGATAGAATACAGGTGTGATTTAGTGACATAGAATACAGGTGTGATTTAGTGACATAGAATACAGGTGTGATTTAGTGACATAGAATACAGTTGTGATCTAGTGATACAGAAGACAGAAAAAACTTGATGAAATGTCTACCTGGTTTGTTTTGTTGGTCGCTGTTTTGTCTTGTGGGACGTTAGCAGGTAAGTTGTTTTTTTAATGCCAATCTATAAGGTTGTTGTAACCAAGGTTTTTATCATTGTTTTATTTTCGCTGTGTTTGTCATCAGTAATGTTTCTAAATGAAGTTCACGGTTTGAAATAGTATTGTACCTAAAAAATATCTGACACGTCAGAGCCAGGTCTCGAACCTGCACCAGTTGTGTGCTCGCGTTGAATGACGTCTATTCGAGACTCTACTTTATTTGACTAGAGTCTCCTATAGGCGTCTCTCCTCTCTCCTGGGGCGCTGCTCCCCCACCCCCACGCGGAAGAGATAGAAAATAAATTATATGGAAAAATAAACTGAAACATGTGTCTGTTTCCCTTCAGAAGCTTAAAGTCCACCCCTCCCTAAAAATGCCAGAAAGAAACCCTGTGTTAGACAAGTGTTATTATCTCATGGCTACATTAGAATGAAATATGGCGGATAAAAACAAAGGAGATGAATTAGAAAACATAATTAACGTTTTGCGACCTGGCCTCCGTATTGTGCAATGAATAAATTATCGCGGTTAAAACCAAACCAAATCAGATACCGACTCGAGACAATGCTCATTAAAACTAATTAGGGAATAACTCACGGGAACGTAATTAACATGTCGTGTTTTAATTTTAATTCGGTTTGGAGGTTTCACGGAGAAGCAAATGAATGGGGTCTAATTTAATTATCTCAATTTTTCCTCGCACTGCATGCAAGTCTGCCACATTAAGCTGTAATAGAGCAGTCAAAAATGTCGGCGTTAGAACCGGAGGTCCTCACGTTATCAACTCTACCAGAGGTCCTCAACTCTTTGTGTACCAGAGGTCCTCACGTTATCAACTCTACCAGAGGTCCTCACATCAACTATTTGTGTACCAGAGGTCCTCAATTCTTTGTGTTCCAGATGTCCTCAGCTCTTTGTGTACCAGAGGTCCTCACGTTATCAACTCTACCAGAGGTCCTCGCGTTATCAACTCTACCAGAGGTCCTCGCGTTATCAACTCTACCAGAGGTCCTCACATCAACTATTTGTGTACCAGAGGTCCTCAATTCTTTGTGTTCCAGAGGTCCTCAACCCTTTGTGTTCCAGATGTCCTCAGCTCTTTGTGTACCAGAGGTCCTCACGTTATCAACTCTACCAGAGGTCCTCGCGTTATCAACTCTACCAGAGGTCCTCGCGTTATCAACTCTACCAGAGGTCCTCACATCAACTATTTGTGTACCAGAGGTCCTCACATCAACTATTTGTGTACCAGAGGTCCTCAATTCTTTGTGTTCCAGAGGTCCTCAGCTCTTTGTGTACCAGAGGTCCTCACGTTATCATTTATTTGTGTACTGGAGGTCCTCACGAAATAGTTTTCTTTTCTTCTTCGTTCTTAATTTTAGTGTTGGAAGGGATTCACTCCAACACAATTAAGGATACGTGTCAAATTGTTGTGCTGTTGACTCCAATTTCAGCCTGCTTTTCTTTTTAAACTTACTTCCATAGCCTTTGTCCAACCAAGAACAAACTACAAGGCAGCAGTTGTTTGATTTTGGAGTTGTCTCTCCTAGAAGAGTGGCTGTCCCCAGCTAACGAGCCTCATCTGCCCGAAGGTTCGAACTCGAGACTTTCCGGATTAGCAATCCGAGTCAATGGCCTCAATGGCGCATAACCAGTTGATACGTATACTTGATAGTGTTGGAGGGGATTCCTTCCAACTCTAAAATTAAGAACGAAGAAATAAAAAGAAGAAGACTGTAGCGGTTGTCAAAAACTCTCCACCACATCAAACATAAATGGAGAGCAGTGGATAAAAAATTTCAGAATAATAATTTATTGTTATGTAAGTCGCGATTCGTGACCTTTACTCACTAGAAGCTGTAAGCAGCGTCAAAGAAATGGATGAAACAATGCTATTGATCTTTGCCGATTTTTATCGATTGATTAGATTGATTTTAAGAGTGATCGTAAATTGTAGGTAGCTTCAAATGTTTGATGTGAAACAATAGCGCAATAAAACCAGGATGCTTTTGTTGGTGCTGGATACATTGTAATTTACAGTGTGAAATTTATGTAAGTTGGGTCAGGATGACATTGACAGGGGTCAGGGTTACATTCATGGGGGGGGGGGGGGGGTCAAGGTGCTGTTAATGCCAGGTGCAATAGTATACTCTTATCACTTGAATGAATATAATGATGAATTTGAAAAAGTGACCAGCTAGTTGATCCCATCCACTTTAACAATTTGACCGTCCATCTAATATTGACTTTGAAAACTCGACCATCTAGTTGACCCCCCCCCCCCCCTCCAACCACTTTAACAATTTGACCGTCCACAGAGTCCCAGGTCCCCCAGATCTCCAGGTGTTTGCTGGCGTGTCTAGACGACCAGGTGCTGGACGCACGTGCGTGCAGGTGTGTGAACCGCAACACGACCGCGTGTCCCAGACGGATGTGTGGCCGCCGCTGGCCGTTGTGTGAGGTCTACAAGGTCGATGCCAGCGGGTGCCAGACCTGTGAGTGTCAGTGTGTTCCACCTGTGTGCCCGCCCACCTGCAGGTGAGTAGTACACGTGTACGTGATTTCAACAGGTGTGTTGGTGAGTTATGTAGGTTTGTAGGTAAGTCAAATAGTTGTGTAGGTGAGTTAAGTAGGTGTGTAGGTGTGTTAAGTAGGTGTGTTAAGTGTGTTAAATACGTGTGTAGGTGTGTTAAGTAGGTGTGTAGGTGTGTTAAGTGTGTTAAATAGGTGTGTAGGTGAGTTAAGTAGGTGTGTAGGTGTGTTAAGTAGTTGTGTAGGTGTGTAAAGTAGGTGTGTAGGTGTGTTAAATAGGTGTGTAGGTGTGTTAAGTAGGTGTGTAGGTGTGTTAAGTAGGTGTGTAGGTGAGTTAAGTAGGTATGTAGGTGTGCTAAGTAGGTATGTAGGTGTGTTAACTAGGTGTGTAGGTGTGTTAAGTAGGTGTGTAGGTGAGTTAAGTAGTTGTGTAGGTGAGTTAAGTAGGTGTGTAGGTGTGTTAAGTAGGTGTGTAGGTGTATTGGTGATTTAAATTAGGATGATTTAGGATGAGTTTATAAAGTTAATCTTTGAGTAGACTAAGTATTCCCTCCACCCGCTCAATGCTATTTGAACCTTGACAGGGGAGCAGTAGAGTACCACACAAACAGTTACGGCTGCCGACTGTGTCGCTGCAAGCGTGCCTGCCCGGGTCACTGTGACCTGCACTGTCCCCACGGGTTTGAGCTTGACCCCAGCGGCTGCCCAGCGTGCAGGTGCAGGGAGAGGGTGTGTCCACCTGTCTGCGCCATCGCCTGCTTGAACGGAAACGTCCTGGACGAGAATGGCTGCCCCACGTGCAAGTGTCAGGGATGACCAGCTGATCACGTGATCAAAGACAGCCAATCGGTGTTGACATTGTACTTGTTAATGTATATCCACTCGACTCTAACGTATACCAATAAAAACACAAATATACACAACTACATTCACACATACGACATACATATATTTAGATATATTTATGACGGCAATGTGCGGTTTTAATGGGTTTGATAAAAATAAAATTTGAAAGACTATCCATGTGTTTTCCCTATTATGTATAAAACTAATTTTCTTTAGGTTAAAAATCAATTTGAAATAATAAATAAATTTGAACATCTGCCCAATTATTATGTTTTGTTGCCAATGTGGACACTACTGTGGTAATCGATACATATTCAACGGCAAATCTTATTGTTGATGTGTTGGTTATATGTGAGTGTATGTGTGTGTGTGTATGTGTAAATGTTATTTATGGAATTAGCCAAACGATATGACATCGGAGCAGATGTTCAGGCTGTGAGGTCCAACAAATTCGCCTCTGCGCACGCACGTTCGTGGTTGTAAACATGCGACGTAAGACTTCTAGACTCGAGTGTATCTTAAAGATTTTTGGAGACGTCATAGTCCATTAGAGCGTGACTCTATCGAGAGAATGACGTCAATGTTTTTTAACATCTGAGATGTGATACGGCCATCATAGGATCTATTTATAGAAGTTGTACCTGTCAGTTTGGTTTTGTTAAATCCTGTTTTTTTTAAAGGATGTATTTTTTTTAACTACAGCATGTTTCAATATTTGAAAAGTGAATGTAATGCGATACTACTTTAAATTAGATCCGGTACAGTCCTTGAAAAACAAGGTAAGACGAAGATATAAAGTTAAGATAGATCGACACGTCATCAGTTCAAACTGAAGCTTCATGGCCGCGAGAGTTCTGTTGTCTGTCTTCTGGGTGACAGGTGTGTGTGACCTTCTTATGGCTGGTGAGTGGACTGTATCGTAGTGTATTGTGGCCTAGCTGTTCAACAGGTGATATAGTTGTTAGTTGTAGGCAGATTTTGTTGTTCAACAGGTGATATAGATGTTTGTTGTAGATTTTGGTGTTCAATAGGTGATGTAGATGTTAGTTGTAGATTTTGCTGTTTAACAGGTGATATAGATGTTAACGTTGTAGGCAGATTTTGGTATCCAACTTGTGATATAGATGTTAACGTTGTAGGCAGATTTTTATTATGTTGGTACATGAAGAATAATTACAATTACACCTAGATTGTTTCATATGACCCTGTGTTATGTATGAAAGTAAGCAACGTAATTCAGTTTGGACTGCTTTAAGCACTATAAAGTGCCGCTTTCTTTTATCAGTATCATTTACACGCCTAATTTGATTTTGTTTAGCAGCATACCCGAATGCACCTCGACCAATATCATGTCCAGAGTCTTGCGGTGGTAGAGGGTATATATATAAGGACATGTGCATCTGTGAAGGTAAGGTGGCCTGTGAAGGTAATTGTCCAAGTGTGACCGGATGTGAGAGGTACCAGGAAGTGGAGAAGGGTTGTCCCCCCTGTCACTGCTTGTGTTACACGCCAACCTGCCCTGTTGGATGCAGGTCAGTCAATCGCAAGAGTTTATTTGCGTTAATGTCGTTGATACAACACAAGTTGATGTTTTCTGGGTTTTTTTTTTAAAAAGGAAAACTGTTAACTCATACTCATGATTGCAAGCTAACGGTTGAATTTTTTTTTAATGAACTCGTTTAATTTCCCCTCCCAGCTACGGTGTTGAGTACATCCCAGCTAGTGACGGCTGTAGAGAGTGCAGGTGTAAGAGCCCATGCCCGGGTCTCTGTGACCTGTACTGCCCAGAAGGCTTTGTTTTGGACGCCAGTGGGTGTCCAGCTTGCAAGTAGGACCTTTTGACTGTCCTATCGTCCTGAAGGACCAGTGGGTGTCCTGGCTTCATATAAAATCTCACTAAATCTCCACTTCTAAGTATTTTTTTATATACTGAAACACCTAATTTATCTTGCACTATATAATAAACATGTAACACACTATATTAGATTGCCTGTGATTTTTTTAATCCTGTGATGTAATTAAAAGCTGTATGTCGTTATCTCAAGTTGTGCCCGTCTGTACAGCTCAACTCAATGACATTATGGCCACATAACATCTGAGTGGGAGGTTCAGGTCGGTGGAGGGTCGTAGGTCGGAATAGATATTAGATAATTAAATGTGGCGGTGTGATTTAAATGTGGTGATGATGATTAGATATAGCGATGGTAATTCAATATGGCGACGATGTTTTGATTTGATGGATGTCACACAAATTATAATTTCTGTCACTTTACACACACACACGTCACAGTCGTTCCACCACTAAAAGCTTTAATTCTATTGGATACCCGGGGCTGACTCTATCACACAGATGGGGTCTCCTAAGTCAGCCCCACGTATCCTTGAGGTTGTTTGTACCTAAAAATAGCCCCACCTAGTTTGGAAAACCCACATCGGCACCACACTATCAACACCACTAAAAAGTGACGTGACCTCACGCTAAATGACCAAAACATTGAATCCCACGTATCTCTCTGAGACTAGACGCCATACCTGGATTCGAACTTAAACCTTATAGATATCATTCTCAAGCTCTAAATCTCAACCAGTTAATTCCCTAATGGCATCATACTTTGGTAACAGCCCCCCCCCCCCTTTCAAATTCTGACACAATAACCATAAACCTTGACCTAATTAGAGAAGAAGGTCAACCCCTCTGTGTTCTACGATCAAATGGATGGTCCAGGAAAAGGGAGGTAACCTTTAAGCAGGGAGGTAACTCGAGCTGCAGATCATCATGCCAGGCATGTTGACACGTTTTATCGCCATCAAAAACATTCTCTCTTGGTGTTTCCTGTTTAGGCATTCAAGGACAAGACCAAATAAAAACAAAACACATCTCAAAACATTTTTTGAAAATTAAATAAAATTTAAGATGCGAAAAACTTGAAACAGAATATTTTAATTATCGATTTTCACTTCTTTTGAGTTAATTTCCCATTAATCCATTGGAATCCATCTAATTAAAATTACAATAGCAAAAAGTTTTAATTAATCTTGTGTCCGAAAACTCGTACAATTGTTTGAAATGAACAACTTAAAAGTTTCACTCACGCTCCACGGGAGATCACTCTCAGGTTTTAGACCTCTAGAGTACAGGGTCATTCCGTCCATTTGTCGGACGGCCGGCAAGACGTCCTGTCCGGACATAACCATGCGCCAAGGGCGGTTAACTCTAGCTAAATGTGGGGAGATAACTAGAGCTTAAAGTGGGGAGATAACCCTGGGTCATTGATAGGGGAGCAGGATGGTGTTAGATGAAGAAGAGCGGGGGGGGGGGGGGTATTATAGACAGGTGTTAATAATAAAAGGTAGTACACGGTGTACTATATAAGGTGCGAGCTGGTATATAACATAACATAAGGAGAGCTAGACACTAAATAGAATAGAGATGGAGCTAGTATGTAAGAAGAGCTAAAAGGTATATAACATTAAGAGATCAGTGGCCCTCTGTAAGAATATGTAAGGGGAGATAACATGCAAATTGAAAACTGGGAAAACTAAAGGGAGAGAACATGGACAAATGTAAACGGAGGGTAGGGGCGGGTGTAAATGTAAAGGGTAAATGGAGATAACAGGGAGGAACATCTAAGGGGGCTAACTGAGTGAAATGTAAGGGGGGCTAACTGGGTGAAATGTAAGGGGGGCTAACTGAGTGAAATGTAAGGGGGGCTAACTGGGTGAAATGTAAGGGGGGCTAACTGGGTGAAATGTAAGGGGGGCTAACTGGGTGAAATGTAAGGGGGGCTAACTGGGTGAAATGTAAGGGGGGCTAACTGGGTGAAATGTAAGGGGGGCTAACTGGGTGAAATGTAAGGGGGGCTAACTGGGTGAAATGTAAGGGGGGCTAACTGGGTGAAATGTAAGGGGGGCTAACTGGGTGAAATGTAAGGGGGGCTAACTGGGTGAAATCTAAGGGGGGCTAACTGGGTGAAATGTAAGGGCTACTAACTGTAAAGGGAGATAATCTTGGTTGACATAGATTCGATTAGCCAGCCGTCTGAATGCGTTTGTAGGTGAGCAGTTATATAACCTCTCTTAGACCACTTTAGTCTGAGGTAATGGTCATTTGATTAGACACATTGATAGAATGATGGTATGATCATTTGGTCAGATGGACAGAATGATGGTATGGTCATTTGGTCAGATGGACGGAATGATAGCATGGTCATTTGATCAGATGGACGGAATGATGGTATGGTCATTTGGTCAGATGGACGGAATGATAGTATGGTCATTTGATCAGATGGACGGAATGATGGTATGGTCATTTGGTCAGATGGACGGAATGATAGTATGGTCATTTGATCAGATGGACGGAATGATGGTATGGTCATTTGGTCAGATGGACGGAATCATGGTATGGTCATTTGGTCAGATGGACGGAATGATGGTATGGTCATTTGGTCAAATGGACGGAATGATGGTATGGTCATTTGGTCAGATGAACAGAATGATGGTATGGTCATTTGGTCAGATGGACGGAATGATGGTATGGTCATTTGGTCAAATGGACGGAATGATGGTATGGTCATTTGGTCAAATGGACGGAATGATGGTATGGTCATTTGGTCAGATGAACAGAATGATGGTATGGTCATTTGGTCAGATGGACAGAATGATGGTATTGTCATTTGGTCAGATGGACGGAATGATGGTATGGTCATTTGGTCAGACAGATGGACAGAATGATGGTATGGTCATTTGGTCAGATGGACGAAATGATGGTATGGTCATTTAGTCAGATGGACGGAATGATGGTATGGTCATTTGGTCAGATGGACGAAATGATGGTATGGTCATTTGGTCAGATGGACAGAATGATGGTATGGTCATTTGGTCAGATGGACAGAATGATGGTATGGTCATTTGGTCAGATGGACAGAATGATGGTATGGTCATTTGGTCAGATGGACGAAATGATGGTATGGTCATTTGGTCAGATGGACAGAATGATGGTATGGTCATTTGGTCAGATGGACAGAATGATGGTATGGTCATTTAGTCAGATGAACAGAATGATGGTATGGTCATTTGGTCAGATGGACAGAATGATGGTATTGTCATTTGGTCAGATGGACTGAATGATGGTATGGTCATTTGGTCAGATGAACAGAATGATGGTATGGTCATTTGGTCAAATGGACGGAATGATGGTATGGTCATTTAGTCAGATGGACAGAATGATGGTATTGTCATTTGGTCAGATGGACGGAATGATGGTATGGTCATTTGGTCAGATGGACAGAATGATGGTATGGTCATTTGGTCAGATGGACAGAATGATGGTATGGTCATTTGGTCAAATGGACGGAATGATGGTATTGTCATTTGGTCAGATGGACAGAATGATGGTATGGTCATTTAGTCAGATGGACAGAATGATGGTATGGTCATTTAGTCAGATGGACAGAATGATGGTATGGTCATTTGGTCAGATGGACAGAATGATGGTATGGTCATTTAGTCAGATGGACAGAATGATGGTATGGTCATTTGGTCAGATGGACAGAATGATGGTATGGTCATTTGGTCAGATGGACGGAATGCTGGTATTAAGAACCCACAAATGTTAGAATTAGTGTTCTCACTATTCAGTGCAGATGTTGTAACTACCTTGCAATTACAAATATACCTATATCCATTATGACTAACCAAAACTCTAAAATTCAAAAATGACCTCAGCTAAATCATCCATTTATTCGGTGAAAGCTGATATCATTTGTCTCACATAAAACAACTTTTAGATAACGGGTAATCCAATAGGTCTCCAGTGCCCTTCTATAGTTTTTTAACCCTGAAATTAAAAACCTGAACGAAGATTTAATCAGAAATAAAATATTGTAAAATACTTGATTTGATCTAGTACTAGATAAAAAAAAAACAATTTTCAAATGCATAAAAAATCGATGGATAAAATATAACAGCCCTACTTGAAGTTATAAAAAAAAAGTAACAAACCACTCCAGACATGAAAGATTTGGCATAAAAGCTCTTAAGGTTTAGGAGCTTAAATTACACGATTTTTTGGTCATATTTCTCTCCCTTGGTACTCCGGGGTGAGCTAATGTCAGGGTGTGTATAAGGGTGAGTAACGGTTCCTTTTGAGCGGGAATTCGCACTGTCAGACGAGAGCCTCGAGGCAGACGATGGACAATGGGGGTCGGACACAACATGCCAGTGATGGGTGTCGGGTTTGAGTGGAGCGTCACTAAATGTGCGTTCTACGTCACATTGGTGAACATTGAGTAGAGCAGTTCGCGGTTTTAGAGAATCCTAGCGTTTTGGCAGGACTCAGGAAATATTTATCTTCTCGTAGTTTCAACAACATAGACAGATAGGAAGATATGCCAAAGTCTTCATTTAGACTTAGATGTATGATAGTAGGTTTTAAATTATTATAGTTAGACATTGAATAGAAGCTATTGAATTAGTCATTTTTATACTCGCATAATATAATTTTCTCTTTTCAAATCATTACAAATGTGATGTAGTTTTTTTTAAACAATCAATTAATAAAAATTAAGTGATTATATATATATATATATATATATATATATATATATATATATATATATATATATATATATATATATATATATATATATATCTAATATATAAAGCTCAATTCTGTAACGCATATGTTTGTCGTTGGCATTTCTACGGATTTAAGTGTTAGATCAATTATCGTGCGCGTTTGTCTAAATTTATGAGTTAAAAAATTACTATTAAAAGTGTTGGGAAATCATTTTCATTTTTCAAATTATAGTAATAATTGTCGGCATGTTCATTAAACACAAGTTTTAAAAAAATATCATCTTTTACAAAAATTCTAATTATGTTTTTATTTAGTCCTATAGCGCTTACTTCCCTTTGATAAATTAGGCAAAACACAATTACTTCCCTTTAGGAAACCATTGCATTAGTTGAAA